CGGGCCAGGGTCTCCGGAAGGAGCGCGGAGCGCGGCGCCCTCCCTCCGGGCCGTACCGCCTGCCTCCTCTCCGCGGGGGCCTCGCGCCTCGGCTGCGGAGAGGGGGCCGGCCGGCGGGGCTTCGTGTGCGTGGGCGCAGCCGCTAACCCAGCAGGCCTCAGGGTCAGTCCCAGTGGGTGGCTCTTCACAGAATAGTGATTTTCTGTATTTTAAGATTCCGGTGGCTAAGTAAATGATGATAAAGGGCTAGATAGATCCTTAAACCTAGGAATTTGGATTCCATTTGGACTTATTTTCAGCCTTTGGCACCAGGTTCAGGTTGGAAATGGGAGTAAGATATTTTGTTGCAATCCATTTTTGTTGTGGTAGTTGTTTCGAGGTATTACGGACTGAATCCAGTACCTTTGCACTGGTATATCCCCAGCCTTTTAGCAAACTATTATTATTTTTAAATTTTGAGACGGGGTCTCCTTAAGTCGCTAAATTGCCCAGACTGCGCTCCAGTTTGGAACACTCTTGCCTCAGCCTTCTAGAATGCTGAGATGACAGGCGTTCACCAGCACATCTGACTTGCAAGCAGTTTTGAGGATGTGTTTCTTGTGATTGTGAGTTTAAAAGTTGTCTGAGTAAACCGTGCAGTGTTCTAAGAGGATGGTAAGCTCAGTGCACACTGGTTGAACTAAGGGAAATATTTTTTAAACAGCCCCCCCTTAAGTAATTTGTTATTTTTACTTTAAATGATGTAGCCTCCTTGGATTTCATTTTTGCAGAAATGTCCTCTTCAAATATCAGTTTTTGTGTGCATGCACATATGAACAGTTGCGCTGGTAATAGAAGGAAAATCGTTTTCCTGATAGTTGTATCTTGTCTTTTAGAGAGAGAAATGTCATCAGTGGAATCACACCAGGAGCAGTTGTCTCAGTCTGATCCATCCCCCTCACCAAACTCATGTAGTTCCTTTGAGCTAATAGATATGGATGCTGGCAGTTTGTATGACCCAGTTTCTCCACATTGGTTTTATTGTAAGATAATAGATTCTAAGGAGACATGGATTCCATTCAACTCTGAGGATTCACAGCAGCTGGAAGAGGCATATGACTCTGGTAGGATTAAAATGAATTATAACAAAGACTTTCTTCCTCTCAAACTACAGTGCCCCCCAAGCCCCGTTTTTTGTGGTATTGGGAATTGAAGTCAGAGCCTAGGAATTGAACCTCAGAGCTTCGGTGCGGAGCTACATCCCCAGGACCCACCCTTTTTAGATAGTGTATCCTAAATTGCTAAATTCCCTAGGCTTGATTTAAACTTGTGATTCTCCTATTTCAGCCTCCCAGATTGCTGGGATTACAGACATGCATTACCATGATAGCCCTGATAGTGCTGTTAGAGATAAATTTTAGATTTTTCCTCTTGGGCGATTTTAAAAATGTAACTCAGAATCATATTTTGGGAGATTTATTGTGTGTTCTGTACTTCTTTTCCTCTTTCCAATTCTTGGCAGGAAAGAATTGTAACGGGAGAGTGGTCCCTACAGATGGGGGCAGGTATGATGTTCACCTGGGGGAAAGGATGCGGTATGCTGTGTACTGGGATGAACAGGCATCTGAAGTGAGACGCTGTACCTGGTTCTACAAGGGAGACAAAGACAATAAATATGTTCCCTACTCGGAAAGCTTCAGCGAAGTTTTAGAGGTATCACTTTGATCCCCTTTTACTCATCATTTTCATCTTTTTTCTTCTCTTTTAATAATCTTTTCTTCCTTTTGTGACTTATTTTGTGAAACTTGCAGAAAAAGTTTGATTCCATCTACACCAGACTCTATAACATTTCTTTTTGCAAGTAAGTTTCAGTATAAAGTAGTTTTAATTTACAATTTTAAAATATTATAGAAGCCGGGTGTGATGGCACGTGCTTATAATCCCAGCACTTGGGAGGCTGAGGCAGGAAGATCGATGTGAGTTCGAGGCCAGCCTGGGCTACATAGTGAGTTCAAGGCCAGCCTGAACTAGTGAGACCCTGTCTCAAACAAACAGACAAACAAACACAAATAAAATATTATGGACACTTTTTTACGCTCTTTAAAAATTTTCCCTGATGGAAATCATTACAGTGGTACCTCGGTTCACAAACTTAATTTGCTCCATGATTCCTCCCCCTCCCGCTGGAACTGAACTCAGGATCTTGCGCTTGCCAGGCTGGTGCTGTGCCGCTGAGCTAAATCCCCAGCCCTTTGTTCCATGATTTTGGGAAAGATGACTACATTTATGTTTGTGAAGGAAAGATGGCCAAGGTCGTGTTTGTCACCTGATGCAGAGTTTGCGAACAGAAGTGTTTGTTAACCAAGGCACCACTATATTAGCACTGACCTTTTTGATATTTATTTTCTTTAAATTGGAGAACATTAACATTACTAACATATGAAATGATGAATAGCAGTTATCTAGTCTTTATGATAGAATTGAGTGATAGTTTTCTTTGTCCTGTGTTGTTATCTGTTGTAATTTTTTAAAAATTTGAAAATAATTTTGATAAACTGGAAAATTACATTATTATTGAAACTCATTAATCTGGTAATGTTCTTGGTATGAGTTCAGTTTAATGGTAAAGCTATTAGAAAAGTCTAATGAAATGTGTTTTCTTTTAAGGAAACTTACATGCTTGCTGTAACTCTGGATGAATGGAAAAAGAAACTGGAGTCTCCCAATAGAGAAATTATTATATTACACAATCCAAAGGTACAGTGAAGTAATGCATTTCTTTGATACTGAGGTGAAGCTTAATTGCATTACTAAGGTGAACTTTGGCTTCTTTTCTCTATGGACTCTTACTACAAAACTTAAAACTTATACTACTGCCATTATTTAGTGCCTTCAGTTCATACAAAAGCATTTTCTTAGGAAAAATTATGCCATCATGGAATTAAGAAAATGACTAATACATTATATGAGCACATCTTTCACGTGTAGGATATTATTGAAAGATCTGTTAGTCCAGTATATTTTCAGGGTCCTCATTTCAAGCTCTGAGAATTGCATATCAAAACTGTTTTATTGAAAGGTATCTTCCTGTCCTTCAGAATGTATTATCTAGAAAAGCCAGGTATGATGGCACACACCTATCATCATAGCACTTCGGAGGCTGAGGTGGGGGATCGCTGTGAATTTGAGGCCAGCCTGGGCTACATAGTGAGTTTAAGGCCAGCCTGAATTGCACAGCGAAACCCCGTCTCAAAAAAAAAAAAATATTCGTACATATACATAATACAGAGATGATTGTAACATCGGCTCTATTGCTCTGATCTTTTCTTATTTAAGCTGATGGTGCATTACCAGCCAATTGCAGGGTCTGATGAATGGGGTTCAGTACCTACTGAGCAAGGCCGGCCAAGAACAGTGAAGAGAGGGGTCGAGAACATCTCTGTTGACATCCATTGTGGTAATGTTCATTGTTCATTTTTTCTTTTGTACTTGTTTATTCCTTAAATTGTGATCTTTTTTGTGCATTTGGCATTTTTGTGCATTACAAATGATGGTTAATTGGGCTTATTCTGAATTAAGATTAGCATCACTTTCTCTAAGAATTTTTATAAGTATAAATATTTATTTAAAGTGGCTGAGTACATATGGTGGGCTTATGGTGGGATGGGTAAAACTTGGTAATACCAATCTGGTAGTTGCTAAGTGTAGATGAACTGAGTTAGTCCTAATTCTAAGAAGTTGAGTCTACCTGCTTGACTAGATATTTATTGCTGGTAATTTCCATCTTTCAAGATTTTCAACTCAGGAACACTGTTTTTCACAAGGAACTGGATTATTCATTGCCATCTAACTGGGGTCACTTATGATTGTTTAAATTTTTTTTAACTGGATTATAAAATTCCTTTTATCTTACAGAAGAAATGATTTGTCTCTTGAATAAATTCTCAGATTAACTGTAATTTTGAAGGACCAGCATGGTAGCCCATGCCTATGATCCTAGCACTTGGGAGGCTGAGGCAGGAGGATTGCTGCAAGTTCGAGGCCAGCCTGGGCTACAAAGTGAGTTCAAGGCCAGCCTGAACTACATAGTGAAACCCTGTCTCAAAAAGATAAATAAATAAATAGATAAGTTTAAAATTTAAGGCTTTAAAAACATTCCAAATATTATTGAGACAGTTGAGTAAAAATGGAGTTATAGTAGTGATAATCTATTAATGTTGCCTGGACTTGGTAACTATATTGTGATTATATCAGAGCCTATCTTTAGGAAATATACTTATTTAATAGTTGAAGAAGTTTGGGGTGTACGAAACCTGATCATACATCCAGCCTGCTCCCAAATGGCTCAGAGAAATAAATGTGTATGTGTGTGTGTCCACAGAGAGAGAAAATAATGAAATGTTTAAAAAGTTGAATTTCTAAAATGTACTTGGGAGTTTGTATTGTTTCTTCTAGTTTTCTGTAAATTTGGAGTTATTTCAGAGTAAAAAGTGAAAATTTTTTAATAGTTTATTTCTAGGTAAATTAAAAATGAGGTAGAATGTACTTTTACGAAGTAGGTAAATATAGGGCCATTTTGTGTCTTTTAAATAATCCACTTGCAGTTTAACTTGTTCATATTTATAACCTGTTCACTATCAGTGATTGAATTTGGAGTGCATTAATTACAGGGAATAATTTTTCCTTCTTTTATTTGTAGGAGAACCGTTACAGATCGATCACTTGGTCTTTGTAGTCCATGGGATTGGGCCAGCCTGTGATCTCCGCTTCCGAAGCATTGTGCAGTGTGGTAGGTCTGCAGAGCACATAGGTCAGATTGCTCAGGGAGCGTGTTAGTCCCTGAGATAAAAGCATCATCTTTAGCTCATCGTCTTAGCTGTGTAATAAGATTTGGAGTGCTGAAGATATGGCGAGGCAGTAAAGCTTCCTGGCTTAATCTAAAGTGCTAGCAAATTCGTGAGGCTAATAGCTTATATTCTTAACCAGTATTTTTTGAGAGAATAATCCCTATAAAATTGGTTTGTGATGTAATGGTCTTATTTCTAACTTTTAAAAATTTAAAAGGGACCCTGAAGATGATAGAGTGAATAACAGAAAGTACAATTATGTTTTTATAATTCATAGTGTGGTAAGCCTCTTGATATTATTGAGGCACTTGGGTTTGACTCAGGTTCTTGTGCAGGTACTCTAGCACTGAGTTATATTCTCAGCCCTTTTTATTTTGAGGCCAGCCCTCACTTGCCTGGGCTGGCCTCAAACCTATCATTTTCATGCCTCAGCCTCCTGAGTAGATGGGGTTACAATCCTCAGAACCTCTTGATATTACAGTTGGAATATTTAATTCATTAGTATAACTTGACTTTAAAAGGCAGTGTCTTTAAAATTTGGTAGCAGGCAAAGTCTGTTTCGAGTAGGAGTCTTACTTTACTGGATGTCTTAGTTCCTTTTCTCATTGCTGAGACAAATACCCAACACCCAAAATTAAAGGAAGAAAGGTTTATTTAGCTTACAGTTTGTAGAAGTTTCAGTTCATAATCAGCTGGCTCCAATGCAGGATGGCTTGGCAGAGGGGCATTGCAAAAGAGAAGCTGTCCATGGCAGACAGAAGACAGAAAAAGCAAGCAGTTGACAGCTTCTTTCTGGCCCTTTTATACCCTCTCTAGGCTGGCAGGATTAGGGTGTGCCAAACCAATCAGTGGTCTGACTTAGTAATCACACACCCTTAATCCCAGCATCACACACTCTAGATCCAGCCCCTTCTGAAAAAGCCCCACCTATGACCCCTTGAGGCTTTGGGACATCCATAATATTAATGGTTCCAAGCATAAACTGGAATTGTATTCTGGAAGGTTAAGATCAGTGTGGTAAGAATTTTGAATAGTGTATATTTTTCAAAAATCTGAAGTATTGGGTAATGATTAATTGTAAAAACCAGGAAGTTAGAATAGGAATCTGGGGGCCAGGGATATAGCTCAGTGGCACAAGTGCCTGCCTGCTAAGCATGAGGTCCTGAGTTGGATTCCAGGTACCAAAAAAAAAAGAGAATAGGAATCTGATTGCAAGATTGATGGACATATAGTCATCTAATTTTAAAAAATTGAAACAGCTTCATTGACAAAAGTTTTTAAGTTAGCCTTTCTTTGGATGAAACATTTTATATGGTAAAAGGCGGTTTTATAGTAGAGGAGCATCTTTTCCTATATGTACTCTTAGTCTTTCCTGAACACTACTTCACTATTTTTGAGTCATTATGTGTTCTGAGCAAATGTAGTTAGGCAGTGTATTACATGATTTGTTGCATGCTAAGTTTCCATGTTAATTGCTTCACTGTTGATGCATAAGTTAATATTTCTTTTCTAGTTAATGATTTTCGCAGTGTTTCCTTGAACTTGCTACAGACACATTTTAAGAAAGCTCAAGAAAATCAGCAGATTGGAAGAGTAGAATTTCTTCCAGTCAACTGGCACAGTCCTCTGCATTCGACCGGTGTGGATGTGTGAGTAACACCTTACACTCTTGAGTTGTTAGCTGTGGTTATGTTTTCCGGTCATCAGTGTACTTGGGGACATTTCTGCTATAGCTGACTATATATTTAAAGTTTCTTACAGATACATTATTAAATGCTAGTCAGTCCCTAGTAAAATGCTCTATCTTCTTTAGTATGCTTTATTATCTTTTGGTATTTATTTTTAAAACTTTATCATTAAAATATTAAAGGCAAACATTGCTTTCTTGTGTATAAGCATTTCCATTTTCAGATATCAAAACCTAATAATAGCTAGGTATGGTGGCGCTATCTGTAATCCTAGCACTCAGTAGGCTGAGGCAGGAGGACTGCCATAAGTTTCAGACCAGCATGGCTTATATAGTGAGTTCAATGCTGGCGTACACTAAAAGTGAGACCCTGTCTCATGTCTCAAAAAAAAAACAAAAAAAGAAAAAAAAAAGCCAGAACCCAGAAAAACCAACCATACCTCAAGATGTACAAAATATTTTGCTGCTCCTTTTGTGAATATATTTAAATACTTGTCCAGATTTCAAACAAAGAGAAGAAATTTCCCTAAATTAAATTAACATTTATAATTTGAAGTATAATTGGTACAGTGACTTTTTAAAGTTACAGCTCTTTAAGGTATAAGCCCTATAGTTTTATTTGTAAATTTTATGGTGATGACAGAGAAAATTGCCTTATATTGAGGATATCCAGCTCTGGGCTCTCCAGAAAGAAATATTCAGGACACATTTGTGGAGTGGAGCTGGAAGATTTTTTCCGTGCTGGTCTTCTCATTCTGTGTGTGGGTTCTTAGTACTGTGTGATTTGAGTATATTCCATGTGCCAGACAGTCCATGGTGGTGCTGCTTTATTAGGTGGTTCACATTCTGTAATATCTTAGCTGACACTAAAAGATTACTAATGACATATAGTTCTCTCTTGATTGCAATAGCTGCTGGATATTTGAGGAAAATTTCTGAGAATTTTTAGAAAACTACTGTCAGGATTTGATTTAAACTATGTTAACATGGTCTTCCTTGGTCAGCTGTAAGTTCTATTTGCCTTTGGTGTCTGGCATTTTTAAAAATCTTTTTCTGCTTTTAAAAAAACTGCACTGGGTTGGGGATGTAGCTCAATGGTAGAGCACTTGTCCAGCGCAAGCAAGACCCTGGCCCAGGCTATGACACAGAGCACAGTACAAAGAACTCCTCAGTTCTGGTAATGCTAGGAAGAGCCTCTCATATCTCTAGTTGGGTGTGGTTTTTTTAGTTCTTTTGCTCTTTCAGTCCTGGGGATTGGACCCAGCTGCTCCACACTGATCTATATCCTCATCCCATTATGTTTATGTTGAGACAAGTTCTTGCTAAGTCATGAAGCTGCTTAGGCTGGGCTCAAACTTAACAGTCCTTCTGCTTCAGCTTCCCTGAGTGCTGAGATTATAGGTGTGCACCTGACTTTGCTTGGCCTTTTAAAAAATAAATAAATTTATTTATTTATTTATTTATTTATTTATTTACCTTTTTGAGACAGGGTCTCACTATGTAGTTTAGGCTGGCCTTCAACTCACTTTGTAGCCCAGGCTGGCCTCGAACTTGCAGCAATCCTTCTGCCTCAGCCTCCCAAGTGCTGGAATTATGGGTGTGTGCCACCACGCCTGGCAAAAAATAAATTTAATTATATCATATATCTATATCTATATTTATATATCTGTATATATCTATATGTATATCTTCATGTATTGCTCAGAATCTTTTTTTTTTTTTTTT